CCATGTCCCCACCATCACCAACACGTACCCACCATCATCACCATGTCCCCACCATCCCCACTGTTCCCACCACATCCCCACCATGTCACTGACACCCTCATGCATCCCCACCATCACCACCCCATCCCCACCACCATGTCCCCACCACGTCCCCACCATCACCACTGTGCCCCCACCAACCCCACCACATCCCTGCCATCCCCACCACATCTCCATTGTCCCCACCATGCCCCCACAGTGTCCCCCCCCCTGCAGACCCACCCTCCTCCTGGAAGACGCCGTCCTTCACCAGCTTGAAGGAGATGAAGACGGCCCCCTCCTCCTGCAGGGTCTTGGAGTGGGGGGGCATGGAGCCGGGGGTGATGCCCCCGATGTCGGCGTGGTGGCCCCGGCTGGCCACGAAGAACACGGGCTTGGGGACACCCGGCCAGAAGACCTGGGGGGAGCCTGGCACTGAGCTGATGTCCTGGGGGGGGTCTGCACCCCATCGGGGGGTCCTGCAGCCCACGGGTGGGTTCTATACCCCATAGGTGGGGTCCTGCACCCCAAGGGTGGGTCTTGAAGCACACAGATGGGTCCTACACCCCATGGGGGGATCCTACACCCAACGGATGGGTCCTGCAGCCCATGGATGGGTTCTATACCCCATAGGAGGGGTCCTAAGCCCCATGGCGGGGGTCCTGCGCCCCATGAATGGGTCCTGCAGCCCACGGGGGGGTCCCACACTCACGGGGGTGATGACGGTGAGGTCAGGCAGGTGGCTGCCCCCCGCGCAGGGGTGGTTGCTCAGGATGACGTCCCCCTCCCGCAGGTCCTCACCCAGGTTGCGGATCTGCAGGGCACCGGGAAGGGATGAGCAGGTCCCTGCTGGGGGGAGGAAGGGGTCCCAAACCCCCTGAGACCCCCCCTCTGCTCCCCAGAACCCCCCTACCTGGAACTGGACGGTCTCCTGCATGGCGCCCAGGTGGACGGGGATGTGGGGGGCGTTGGAGACCAGCCCCCCGTCCGGCCCGAAGAGCGCGCAGGAGAAGTCCAGCCGCTCCTTGATGTTGGTGGAGATGGCCGTCCGCTGCAGGATCCGGCCCATCTGCTCTGCGGGGGGGTTGGGACGCACACGGGGAGGACCCTCAGGACCCCCACACCAACCCCCCCAGCCCCACGGAGCCCCCGTCCCCGCAGTGCCCCTCTCCCCTCCCCACCTGCGATGCTCATGAAGCGGTGGGAGAAGATGGAGAGCTGGATGGGGTCGAGCTGGGGGCCGACGGGGCGCGGGGCGCCCGACCCGATGGCGATGGAGATGTCACCGAAGGGGGTGAGGCTGGCGGTGCAGCCCGGCTCCACCACGATGGTGCTGCGGTGGCACCAGGAGATGGAGGGGCGCGGGGCACCCCGGGGTCCCCACCGGCTCCCCAGGTCCCATCAGCTCCCCAGGGTCCCACCAGCCCATTGGGATCCCCACCAGTTCCATGGGGTCCCACCAGATCCCTGGGGTCCTTCTAGCTTCCTGGAGCCCCCACCAGCTCCCCAGGGACCCCATCAGGTCCTCGGTGTCCCACCAGCTCCTCAGAGTCCTCCCCTGGGGTTCCTCTGTCCCCCTGGGGTCCTATCATTCCCACTGGGGTACCACCAGCTCCCTGGGTTCCTCTCTGGGCTCCCCACCATCTCCTGGGGATCCCCATCATCCTCCTGGAGTCCCCCCGTTCCCCTGGGGTCCTTCTGGCTCCCCAGGATCATCCCCCTGGGGTCCCTCCATCCCCCCAGGGTCCTGTCATCCCTCTCGGGTCCCCTCCATTCCCATGGGGTCCCCCCCGGGGTTCTGTCATCCCCCTGGACTCCTGCCCTTGCCCTGGGGTCCCCCAATCCCCCTGGGGTCCCCATGTCTCCCCAGGGTCCCTCTGGCTCCTCAGGGTCCCGTCATCCCCCTGGGGTCCCCCTGGCGACCTACCATCCTCCTGGGGGTCCCACCATCCCCTGGGGTCCTTCTGACTCCCCGGGGTCCTGTCGTCCCACTAGGGTCCCACCAGCTCTTTGGAGTCCCTGATGGCTTCAGGGGGTCCCCCCCAACCCCTCAGGGTCCCCCCCACCCCCCGGGGTCCCCAAAAGCCCCAACCTGTTCTTGTCGATGATGATGGCGGGGCCGGGGACGCTGGGGTCGCAGCCCAGCTCCTCCAGCAGGAACGGCAGCTGCGGCCAGGGGGGCACCGGGACACCCCAACTGCCCCCAGCGTGGCACCAAGGTGCCGGGATGGGGATGGTGGCACTGGGATGGGGATGGTGGTACCGGGATGGGGATGGTGGCACTGGGATGGGGGACCATGGTGCCAGGATGGGGATGGCGGTGCCAGGATGGGGATGGTGGCACTGGGATGGGGACGGTGGTGCTGGGATGGGGATGGTGGTACCAGGATGGGACCCATGGCACCTGGACAAGGATCAGGGTGCCAAGATGGGGATGGTGGTGCCAGGATGGGGACTGTGATGCCAGGATGGGGATGGCGGTGCTGGGATGAAGATTGTGGTACTGGGATGGGGATCATGGCACTGGGATGGGGACCATGGTGCTGGAACAGGGATTGTGGTGCCAGGATGAAGATTGTGGTGCTGGGATGGGGATCATGGCACTGGGATGGGGACCATGGTGCTGGAACAGGGATTGTGGTGCCAGGATGAAGATTGTGGTGCTGGGATGGGGATGGTGGTGCTGGGATGGGAATGGTGGTGCTGGGATGGGAATGGTGGTGCTGGGATGGGAATGGTGGTGCTGGGATGGGAATGGTGGTGCTGGGATGGGAATGGTGGTGCTGGGATGGGAATGGTGGTGCTGGGATGGGAATGGTGGTGCTGGGATGGGAATGGTGGTGCTGGGATGGGAATGGTGGTGCTGGGATGGGAATGGTGGTGCTGGGATGGGAATGGTGGTGCTGGGATGGGGATGGTGGTGCCAGGATGGGGATCGTGGCACTGGGATGGGGACCTTGGTACCAGGATGGGAGATGGCAGTGCCAAGTAGGGGGACCATGGTGCTGGGATTGGGATGGGAGTGCTGGGATGGGGATGGTGGTGCCGGGATGAGGATCCTGGTGCCAGGACAGGGATGGAGGTGCTGGGATGGGAATGGTGGTGCTGGGATGGGGATTATGGTACCGCAATGGGGGAATCATAGGAGTGGGATGGGGACCACAGTGCTGGGATGGGGATGGTGGTGCTGGGATGAGGATCCTGGTGCCAGGATGGGTATGGTGGTGCTGGGATGAGGATTCTGGTGCCAGGATGGGGATGGAGATGCCGGGATGGGGATGGAGATGCCGGGATGGGGGACCATGATGCCGTGCCGTGGGTACGGACCGGCTGGTGAAGGCGGCGAGGAAGTCCCCGGCGCGGCAGGAGTGGGGGGTCGGGGGGTACCCCTTGGCCGAGCACAT